AAGAGAAATTAAAAAATATCTTGAGCCCTGGCTGGCGTAGCTCAGTGGATTGAGCGTGGGCTGCGAACCAAAGTGTCACAGGTTCAATTCCCAATCAGGGCACATGCCTGGGTTGCAGGCCATGGCCCCCAGCAACCGCACATTGATGTTTCTCTCTCTCTTTCTTTCTCCCTCCCTTCCCTCTCTAAAAAATAAATAAATAAAATCTTAAAAAAAATAAAAGTTTCAATGCTTTAAAAAAATATCTTGACAAGGAAAAGCATTGTAACTATGTGAGGTGATGGGTGTTAACTAAACCTATTTTGGTAATCACTTCATAAAGAGACATAAATCATTATGTTGCACACTTTATACAATGTTATATATCAATTATATTTCAATACAACTAGAAAAAACTTGAAAAATACTTGAGATAAATGAAAAAATGGAAACACAACATACCAAAATTTATGAGATTCAGCAAAAGCTGTTCTAATAGGTAAGTTTTAGTGATCAACACCTACATTAAGAAAAAAATAAAGATCTGAAATAAACAAGCTAATTTCACATCCAAAGAACTAGAAAAAAACTAAGCCTAAAGTTAGTAGAAGGAAAGAAAAAGCAATGATCACAGCATAAATAAATAAAATAGAGACAAAAAATGCAACAGAAAAAAATTTATGAAACTTGTTTTTTATATTTTTTTTGAGAAAACAAACCTTTAGCTAAGATTAGAAAAGGAAGACTGAAATAAATAAAATGAGAAATGGAAGAGAAGATATTATAATGGAACACAGAAATACTAATAAGGGTCATAAGAAACTACAGTTGACTCTTTTTGTTTTAAATTTTTAAAAAATATTTTATTTCTTTTTAGAGAGAAGGGAAGAGATAGAAAAAGAGAGGGAGAGAAACATCAATGTGTGGTTGCCTCTCATATGCCCCCTACTAGGGACCTGGCCTGGAACCCAGGCATGTGCCCTAACTGGGAATTGAACCTATGACCCTTTGGTTCACAGGCCAATGCTCAATCCACTGAGCTACACCAGCCAGGGCTACAGTTGACTCTTGATCATGGATTTGAACTGTGTGTATCCATTTACACATGAATTTTTTTCACTGAAGATCAATTGATCCATACAGTTCAAGCCCAAGTTGTTCAAGGGTCAACTCCGTGAATGAGAATCCACGTACACAGAGGGCTGAGTATAGTTATATGTGGATTTTTGACTGTACAGGAGGTTGGCACTTTTCAATATTGTTCAAGGGTCAGTTGTAGTATTAACAATTATACCCCCAAAATTAGATAACTGAGAATAAATGGATAAATTCCTAGAAACATACAACCCACCAAGATTGAATCATGAAATAGAAAATCTGAACACACTGATTACTGCTGAAGACATGGAATTAGTAATCAAAACCTCTAACAAAAAAGAAAGAAAGAAAGAAAGAAAGAAAGAAAGAAAGAAAGAAAGAAAGAAAGAGAAAAAAGCCCAGGACCAGATGGCTTTACTGGGGAATTCTACCAAAAAGCCAAAGAAGAATTAATATCAGTTTTCTCAAATTACTCCAAAAAATATAAGAGGACTGAACATTTCCAGATTCATTTTATGAGGCCAGCATTATCCTGATACCAAAGTCAGATCGTGACATTAAAAGAAGAGAAAATTATAGGCTAATATTTTGATGAATATTTATGCAAAAACTCTCAACAAAATGTTAGCAAACCAAGTTCAACAATACATTAAAATGATCATCTATCATGATAAGTGGAATTTATTCCTGGGATGCTAGGATGTTTCAACATACACAAATCAATACATGTGATAAACCATTTTAACAAAGGTTATAAATCATATGATCATCACAATAGATGCAGAAAAAAGCATTTGACGAAATTCAACATTGCTTCATGATAAAAAAAAAAACCTCCTCAATAAATTGGAGTAGAAGGAATGCACTTCAGCATAATAAAGGTCATATAGAGGGTGGAGCAAAAGTAGGTTTATAGTTGTTCATATGGAAAATAATACAATAATGAATAAATAATAATAAAAGGATAAACTGTGTTTTGCATACTCACAACAGTAAACCTACTTTTGCCCCAGCTGTATGACAAGCCCACAGATAACATCATACTCAATGTTAGAAAGTTTAATGCTTTTCCTGTAAAATCAGGATGTCTTGTATAAGACAAGGATAAATACTCTCACTACTTTTATTCAACATAGAGCAATTATGCAAAAAATAAATAAATAAAAGGCACCCAAATCAGAAAAAAATGTAAAATTGTCTCTGCAGATGACACAATCTTACATTTAAAAACCCCGAAGACTCCACCAAAAATCTGTTAGAACTAATAAACAAATTCAGTAAGTTACAGGATACATAATCAATATACAAAACTCAGTTGTGTTTCTATACATTAACAATGAACTATTGGAAAGGGAAATTAAATAAACAATCTTATTTATAATATCACCAAAAATTAAATGCTTAGGAAAAAATTAAATGAAGGAAATGAAAGATCTGTATACTGAAAAGTATGAAACATTGATGAAAGAAATTGAAGACCCAAATAAATGGAAAGATGTCTCATGTTCCCGGATTAGAAGAATTCATATTATTAAAAGGCCCATACTGCCCAAAGAAATCTACAGTGTCTGTTCCAAAACCCCAATGGTATTTTTCATTGAAATAGAACAAACAATCCTAAAATTCACATGGAATCACAAAAGACTCTGAATAGCCAGAGCAATCTTGAGAAAGAAGAAACAAAGCTGGAGGCATCACACTTCCTGATTTCAAGCTATATTACAAATCTATAGTAATCAAAACAGAATGGTATTTGCATAAAAACAAACACATAGATCAATGGAACAGAAGGCAGCCCATAAGTAAACCTATGGATAAATGGTCAATTAGTTTTCAATAAAGGAGCCAAGACACAATGGGGAAAAGATAGTCTCTTCAATAAGTGGTGTTGGGAAAACTATATCCACATGCAAAAGAATAAAACTGGATGGATCCCTATCTTACACCAGGCACAAAATCAACTCAAAATGGTTTAAGATTTGAACGTAAGATTTGAAACTTTAAAACTCATAGAAGAAAACATAGGCAGTAAACTCCCTGACATTTGTCTTGGCAATGATTTTTTTAATTTGACACCAAAAGCAAAGGCAATAAAAACAAAAACAAACACGTGAAACTTCATCAGACTAAAAAGCTTCTGCACAGGAAAAAAATCAAAACAAAACAAAACCCCAAGAAACCATTAACAAATTTTTAAAAATCAACCTATAGATTGGAAGAAAATATCTGTGAACCACATGTCCAATAAAGGATTAACGTCCAAACTATGCAAGCAACTTATAGGAACTTATACAACTAAATAGCAAAAATAAAAAATTAAAAAATCCTATTTTAAAAATGGGCAGAGGAACTGAGTAGACATTTTTTCAAAGAAATTCAAATAGTCAACAATCACATGAAAATGTGCTTGACATCACTAATTAATATACAAATACAAATCAAAATCACAATGATATCACCTTACACCTGTTAGTATGGCTATTATTAAAAAGACAAGCGATGAATACTGGCAAGGATATGGAGAAAATAAAACCTTATCCACAGTTGGTGGGAATGTGATATGGTACAGACACTATGGAAAACAGCATGGAGGTTTCTGAAGAAATTAAAAATAGAACTACCACATGACCCAGCAATCCCACTTGTGGGTATACATCCAAATGAAATGATATCGGTATCTGTACTTCCATGTTCATTGCAGCACTATTCAAGTGGCCATGGTATGAAAACAACATGTGCATCCACTGACAGATGAATGGATAAAGAAAATGAGGTATATATATGAGGTCTGTCCAGAAGGTATCTAGCCATGTAATATAAAAAAAATAGTGTCATTTATTGAAGAAGATACAAGATACAAGAAACATTGTACATAGGACAATGACACCTCAGTCCCCTTCAAATTAGGCAACTTGGGACCTTACACAGTTCTCCCAATTGCCATCAGCTGCCCCATCGTGTTTTCCTGAATCTCATTGACAGTCTGAAATCTCTTCCCTTCCAAAGGTGATTTGAGTTTTGGGGAAAGCCAGACGTCACAGGGCTCCAGATCTAGGCTGTAGTGGGGCTGAGTCACCTGGGTGATTTAATATTTTGCCAAAAAACTTTGCATGAGATGTGATGCATGAGTGGGTGTGCTGTCATGACAAAGCTGACAATCACCAGTTGCCCATAGCTGTGGAGTTCTGAATGATCTGAATAGTTTCTGCAGAGGAACATTCAAGCTTAACACAAAATATGATGCAGATTCATTGCTCTACTTGCTCAGTCATTTTGAATGTAATGGCCACACAGTACACATGCTCACCCTACTGGTGTCTACCGCCCCCACTGACTAGTATACTGAAGTTATCATTGTTCACACATGCACATTCCAGTCCACTCTCTTTGGCTACCAGGTTACATTGATTTCGCACAAACTGTTCTCATTATATTAGCAATGGCTGGACTTTTTCTGGACAAGAGTTTGTTTATATATATATATATATATAATCCTTATATCCTTATAAAAGGTTAAACATATGTTATTTATCCTTATAAAAGAAGGATATCCTGGTATTTGCCATGACAGTAAGCAAAGCAAAATAAGACTGACAAAGACAAATACTGCATGGCTTCACTTATATGGAGAATCAAAAAAATTTTTTAAAAGTCAAACTCATAGAAACGGAGTAGAATGGTGGTTGCTTGGTACTGGGTGAAGCAGGGGGTGGAACTAAAGAAAGGCTAGTATAAAGGTATTATTTTGGGCATGAATGAGAAACTATGAACTTAATTCTGTTCTATTTAATTGGTCATTGTGATTGGATCCCTTTACAGGTCTTTATTTTTGGTTTTTAGTTGCTTGGTAGAACTTATCAATATGTCTTGTTGCATTTTTTTAAATCTGACCCACTGTGTATCTCTCTGGATTTTCATTACAGCACTTCTCTGAATGGCACCAATGCTTCTTTTTCTGGTCCATGGGACAATAAAGAATTCAGTGCCATAGCCCTTGCTAACTGCTGTGATTTCTACATCAATGCTGTATGTGCCTAAGGCCAGCTCATTTTTGTAAGTCTTGATCTTGACAGATTTTTGATGGTAAAGGTATTTATGTATTCAAGAATTTCTACTCTACAACTAACTCACCATGATCTTTAACAGTAAATGTAAAAATTTCATTTTGGTTCATTGTATGCCAATGATGAAAGTCAGCATTTGTCCTTCCATTATTTGGCTAAGCAAAATAAATTCTTTATGGGTTCTGTTTGAGTTTATATGTGAAATAATAAATATTACCATACCAAAAAATTCTTGCAAATCTTGCTTCTAGTTGTCATCTTAAAAATTATGTGATGCAGTCTGCTATAAATGTGATTTGGTATATAATATGTACTGTGGTGAAAAGCTGTATTTTTTGGAATTCTGTGGATGAGCTAGGTTTATGGTACTAAAGGTACAAATGGAAGTTATATGAATATTTAATAACAAGTTTTTTCTGGTTGTCACACATGCAAACTCCTTAACATTACATAGTAAACAAAAAGTATTTCCTGTGTGCACACTTGGAAGGAATGTCTATTTCTTAAAGACCCTTACTTTGTTTTAGTTTTCTGCTTTAGGATCAGCTTTGCTGCATGTTTACAGGGAACCCTTTAAAACAGTGGTTTTCAGTGAGATGTAGGTCAGTTTTGCCTCCCAGGGGACATTGAGCAATGTCTTGAGACATTATTAGTCATCACACATCGGGAGGTGGGGGGATGCTACTGACATCTGCTGGGTAGAGGCCAGGATTACTGCTAAACATTGTACAATGCACAGGTCAGCCTCCATAACAAAGAATTCTCTGGCCCCACATGTCAACAGTGCAAAGATTGAAACACTCTGATTTAAATGTTTAATGTATTTCTTATATCTAATATTATTTATAATATTAATAATATTATAGCCTTAAGGAAGAGTTTCAAAAGGTTGCATGAATGTCTTCTTTACATTAATTCATTGGAACTAACAACTTTTTGGTTTTTTGTTGTTTTTTCCAATGTCCATAAATAGTTTCATTGGCACCCCACCATGCCCATTCATTTACCTACAATTCGTGGCTACTTTTGGCCATGATGAAGTTGCTGGGATAGAGACTATGCAAAGCTGCAAACATTTACCATCTGGTTCTTTACAGGAAACCTACCATAGAAGATGAAGCCCTGGATTCTAAAATAAGGCCTTAGACTCCTGTGGCAGTGTCTGGGCCTCTCTCTAGCCATCTCTTTCTTTTGGCTCTTCCCACTTGGCTCTTGCCTTTGGCTACGAGCTCCCGACTCTTTTGGTTGTCCCACATCTCATGTCCAGGAGAATTTGTCTCCTTTGGTTCTAACAGAACTTGTTGTGGTAGGTATGATGAGATCACTACTCTCCCTCTCCATGTTAAAACAAGGAAATTCAGGTAGAATGATTAAGTAGAGTTGCCTTTGTTTACAGAGCTAACAAGGACCTAAGCCAGCCTACTGTAGTGAAAGGATGTGATTTAATAAGGCTTTCTATTATCTGGGTGAATTCTAGCTTTCTAATCTGTTTCTTCTCCTGTCTCATGCCACCCATCCATGTATGTAATTACCACACAGATTTCCCTAAGAAATCTATACCTGAGTGCCTTTGAAAAAGGCATATGACCTCTTGGAGCCTCTATGCTCACAGTTATACAAATCAAATTAATAATGTCTTCATTAGAGGTTTGTGGAGATTAAATGTCTTGATGCTAAAGCACCTGGAATATAGAAATGCTTAAGGAATGTTCTCCTCTCTCCATGGTTCCCTATCTTTCTTTTTCATATATCCCAACTTAAAGCCCAATACTTTCTGCATAACTCTACTACATATTTCTTTGCAGCTTCGATGGTGCCTGGCTCCATGGCCTGTCCATGTCCCACTCCTTTCCTGGGACCAAACACAGTTCCAGAAGGGTGGAGCCAGGAGCTGGAATAGGTCTGGCTGGTAGTTTTTGGGGGTGGCCTGAGCCATCTAGACAGGTGCCCCATGCCATGTTTCAGGTACATGTCCAAAGACCAGAACTGAAAAAGCCAAACCTGTATTCAGGTAATGATGATGTCGATCTGGAAACAGGGACAATGAGGTCATCTAATGGTTCTAATGCAAAGATCAGATTCTTCTGATAAACATTTATCATCAACAAAAAGAGCATGATTTAGGAAATTTATTACAAACCACCCATGTTACAGCTTACATTTTTTATTAGACTGATTACCTTCACCAGTTTTACTTTTAAAAACTTAACATTTGCTCCAGAAAAGCAAAATACATATTTTGAAAGCCCCAAATTCACGTTCTTCCATCTCAAGGCTCCTGTGTATTACATTTGTCAGGACACAGATTTACCTCGACGATAAAAATTCTTTCCATATATTTTAAGCAGGAATCAAAACAGAATATTGAAGCTGTTTTGTCACATAGAACAGCGGTTTTTTGGTTGAAGTCATATTTCCATTTGTCAAGGGCTGCTGTTCCCTCGAGGGAAGTAAACACTGTTTGCAGCATTGAAGGTCTCACAAAGCAAAAATGGAGCAGGGAGCCCTCTTTTCCATGGTGACAAGACAAAGATTTGAATTATTCATTAAATGAAGGATATTTATTTATGGTTAACCTCACTCAGAAGATGATGTAGCATATTTCCCAAAGAAAATATTATCCGTCAGATATTTGACATTTGAGAGCTCATGTATTTACTGTTTCAGAAGCAAATCTATGACTCTGTAAATAGGAAAAGTATCCCTCAACTACATAGCTACAATTTATATAACAAAAAACAATATTAATTTACTTCTTTAGAGGATTTCATAGACAACTTGAATGTTTAAAAGAATATTTTAAGGTGGGTAGGCAATGGAAGGCATTATCACTAGTCATATTTTTATAAAGGCAAAATACTCAGCTTCATTGCATAGCTGTATGCCCCCCACTGGTGGCCACAACTATTGTGAATTTGTTGCAGAACTATTTGGCTGCCTGGCTGGGCCTCTGGGGCTGTGGATGGACCACACAGCCCATGGCACTGTTGAATCACTGAGATGTGTCTGGCTCAGTATCAGAGTGCTGACTGAGTCTAGTGGTGCTTAACAAAGCCTTAGAAGGGGTGGAGAAAATGCTTCTAAACAGCCTCATCATATAATAATCATACAGAATTTTATGTAATTATTATTACTAATAATAGCTAACATTTGCTGAGTACTTCCTAATGCCAGGCACTGTGAGGTATCCTATAGTCATAAAGCCACAGGCCCTGCTGCCATCTTGCCCCCACAAACAGAGGGGTCCCCACATGTAATACTGACTTGGAGGAAGGACTGAAGCACATGCAAAATTGCCAGAATGGAATTCAGAGGCTCTGGCTTCCCAAGAAGCTACCTGGAGGGGCTAGGTAATATAATCTGCAAGTGTAGGGGAATTAATGTCTGCTGGGAGGGTACACCTTAGGCAATGAGAGACAGAGACAGACAGAAGCGGGATTGCTCACTTCTCTTCCTATGTGATAGTTGGTTGTGAGAGGCAGTAACTTTTTTAGTAATCTCTGGAGATACCCTGGAAGATCTAGCAACCATCTTTGTTTGCAATGAAGCTATGGCCATCTTGGCAACACATCTCTCATGTTTGTTTTCACTTTTTTCCTGCATCACTTCCTTTTCCCTCACACTTTCTTCCTGGAATTCCATCCATTATGTAGGATGGAATCAAGCATTAGTACATAATCTTTCACTTCAAGCTTTATTTTCTTAGGACCCTCAGTTAAAAAAATGCTGGTACCAAAGGTGGTCTTTAAAAGCAGCCCTTTGCCCTGGCCAGATAGCTGAGTTGGTTAGAATGTCATCCCGATATGCCAAGGTTGTGGGTTCAGTCCCCAGTCAGGATACATACAAGTATCAACCAATGAATGCATAAATAAGTGGAACAATGAATCAATGTTTCTCTCTCTCTGAAAAAAAAATCAGTAATAAAAAAAGAGTAGACCCTCAAAATAGGGTTTTGGAATTGGATAACTCACCTATCTGAAGGCAAAGGAAAGTTTTTCCTCATGGTTAAGTAGAATAATACATAACCCCTGCTCTGTAGTGGCATGCATTGTAGTTACTAAAGCTCTCATCTATGGTTAATTGGGATGAGGTGCAGGTGGAAGATAAGGCATTGGGATACCGAGCGGATGCTGTACATGAGTGGTATGGGAGAAATGGTAATAATAAGAATTGGGGAATAAAATGGTTGCTTTTGACTGCATCTTGCAAGCCTTGCAAGAAGAAAACAATGGTTCAAAGCAGCCAGTTGCCGATTTAGGAACACTATGAAAGCCATTGGACTTCTATGGCAGCCATAAAGAAGACCCCCATCTCTTGTAGTGGTAAATTAGACACTGTTGAAAATTGGGTTCTGGATCCAGAGTGGCAGAGCCACAAAGGAGATTGAATGCATAGCTTCAGCAGGTCTTCCACATCAAAGTCTTTTCCAGATAGGAAAAAATGTGAGATCTTAAGACCTGGGCAAGAAATATGTGGGTGCAGGAGCCTGAGAACCTTAAGCTCACAATTGTCCCTAAATTATCTTGACCAGGAGAAGCTGTTCATTTCCCCTTGACAGGAAAATAGACTTCCTTTGCCTGGAGACCATATATGAACTCACCTGAAATAGATTAATTGAAAGATAACTCTTGTTTCCTGAAAGACGTACCTCCATCACCCTTTTTTACCTACAGCCTGATAACCAATGGAAGAGCTCTGCATAGCCTGAGCAGGGAAGTATAGGTCCTGCTCCAAAATGAGTTAGCCTACAAAAGAACTGTAGGACCTGTGAATATGTGGGGATCAGAATAATGTAAGGAGGAGTGTGAGAAAAGTCAAACAGAGACTCAAATCTGAAGAGACTTCAGTTCTAGGTAAGATAAAAATAATCTCTGATGTTACATTCTCTTGAAGTTGTAGGTTGTAGTAAGATAACCCAGGAGTGAATCTCCCAACTAAACTGTGTTTAAATTTGTAATATTTCACTGATTCAATAATTCCATAGGAGGGTGTCTTTATTGATCTCCAAGTGTGTTCACGAGTTGGAATTTTAGAGAACCCGTGGGAACAGGACCATTTTGGTAAGCCACATGCATGTATTGCTATGCATGAGGACTATCATCGTTTTGACTAATAAAGTGATCTGCACAAGGGCTTTCATTGTTTTGGTGGGAGTGTGGGGCAGGTGCACCAGTGATGGAGAGTAAGAGAAAAAGGAGATAAC